CCGGGGCTCATATGGTGCATAACCACCAGGGACTCAAAGAGAGGCTGAGAAGTGAGGCTATAAGCATCATTCCCAACAAGTAGCATCCTAAGGGAACTAATCACAACAACAGTGCTCCACACAGTCAGGGTGAAAATGTTTGGCCTTAACTGGGTAACAGTATGGGTCTTACTCATGGCCCATTAAGTTATTTTATCGATCAGCGAGTGGTGCTCAAACAGTTTCAGTATTCTGAGCCGAAGCAACGTACTCATTTTTGGACCAAAAGTAGTTTAGCCTGTAAGGTGGGAACCACTACTGTAGGTTATGCAACCTTATAAATGTAGATGGGGAGGCCCAGCCTGCTGCCATACAGATATTCTGCAAGGTAATCCGGAAGTGTAGGTCAGTGCTATAGCATCAACTATCCATCTGAAACGAAAAGCTGCTCAGTAATTCTGAAAACAGACGACCGAGACTGATAAGCTCTTAATGCCCAGACTGGGCAATGGAAGCTGTCGTTGTAAACTGGCAGGGCAGACAGGGAAATAACCTGAACCCTGAACCGTGTGTTGAGGGATTTAGACACATACCCATTTCTTGGTTTGAGTATGATTTTCGAGTTTTAATTTGGCCCAAATTCTATAAACGTCGCGATTACTTAGAACGCTTGTAAATCCCCTATGCGCTTCACTGAAGCAATAGCCATAAGAAACACCGTCTTGAATGACAAATGTTTCATGTTTGATTGGCTCGAACGAGACACATTTCATGGCTTCCAAAACCGTCGAAAGATCCCACATGGGGACTGAAGGGGGTCTGGGAGGATTCAGCCTCTTAGTGGATGACCAGATCATTCTTCCCCAGTGACTGGCCAGTCGCTGGTTTTAGCAAACGCTGCTATGGCTGCCACATAAACCTTGAGAGTGGATGGGGTTCTGCCCTTACCCATTAGCTCTCGAAGGAAGGAGATATCTTCCACAGCCCCACAGTCCAGGGGTGAAAAGCCTCAAGCGTTGTACCAGCGAGAAAACACAGACCATTTTGAGGAATAGAGTCATCTAGTAAACTGGGCTCAAGCCTGCGTGATCGTTTTTCACAAGTTCACACTTACATCAATTAAACAGATATTATGCGTATTTGGCGTGCTGTCCGGGAGAGGGCTCAGAGCTCGGAATTTTTTATACATGCTGTGTCTGCTGGGAGACCAGTGCTCACTGTTCGGGAGAGAGTATAGATAAGTGAATAGTACGTCTGCTGGGAGACCAATACTTGCTGGACTGGAGAGAGTAGAAATAAGTACCTAGTACATTCGCTGGGAGACCAATTCTTACTGGACAGAAAAAAAGAAACATAGATGCATGCAACATCCGCTCGGGACTAATGCTGGCTGGATGTAGAAATAGGAAAGATAGATGAATGCAACGTCCTCTGGGAGACCAATGCTCACTGGACAGAGAAAGAAGAAACATAGATGCATGCAACATCCGTTTGGAGACCAATGCTCGTTGGATGAAGAAAGAAGAAACAGATGTATGCAACGTCACTGGACAGAGAAAATCATCAATAGCCCCTTTTCCACCAAAGCATTTTGAGAGCCGGTTCGGAGACGGTGCCTGCGCGCGAACCAGTTCTTTGTGTTTCGACAGCCAAAGAACCGGTTCGCGGCCGGGAAAACTGGTTCCAAAGCGGCACCAACTCTTTGCTGGACTAGAACCGTTCTTTTAGCACGTCATGTTTACGTCGGGGGCTGGGGCGGGTTTAGATGTGTTCTAAACATATTTTCTGACCATCGCAAAGCCAGGAGAAACTGCAGAAACACGCAAGCGTTTTTTATTTATTTATTTTTTTTATTTGAAACATAAGCAAAGAAGAAAACAGTACGATATAGAACAAATAAATGAAAAGAAAAAAGACACAAGGCAGGGGTACATAACTTATCAGAAAAGATTACATATCAAACGAAAAGATTAGAAGACTTACATATTCAATTGTTTTTAAAGTTTTCTTGGTACACGAGTTAGAGAGATAATCCCAAAGCAATGTACTTGCAAGCGTTTCTAGCGACGTACACAGTGACGTAACGTCGTCGTTCCCTGGGCGCTCTAGTCAGTGGAAAAACAAACAGGTTCTTAACGGGTTCGCAAGTTGAACCAACTCCGAACCAACTTTGAACCAGCACCAGTTCCGAACCAGTTCTTTTTTCGGTGGAAAAGGGGTAAATTAAGGGTTTTTACAGGAATATAAATTCTGAATAGCGAGGTACTGGGTAGAAGACATCACTGCTGCAGCAGTGGAGAAACTTACCTGGAGAAAAGGTTGATTGCGATTTCACTTTTTTAATTTTAAATAGTGTGTAATGTTGCTGTTGGTGCATGAACAGTATCTGCAAAGTTGCAGCACTGAAAGTTCAGTGTAAGCAGAGATATCGTCTTTTAAAAATCAGGAAGTATATTACAGTATACTACAGCTGGGTTTTAGACGTCACTAACCCATACATTTGCATCAACCCTCCCTCCGGAATATGCAGAAAAGGGCATGCGCATATTTCTGTGGCACGTCGAGTGTGTTGTGTTCACCCAGCTGTCAGGTCTTCTGTCTTTGAGCTTCCCACGGACGCTGTACTTCATCAACAATGGATACGATTTATGTTTGATTATGTTCCTGAAAATGACAATCATAATTTAGCTCTCTGTGCTGCACATTTTACGGAAGACAGCTTCCAGAATCTCCTCGAGCTCAATGCCGGATTCAACAAGAAACTGTTACTAAAACATGAAGCAGTTCCAACTTTAAAACCAAAGGCAGCAGCTGTTGGGCCACAACCTGTAAGTAGGCTAAGACTTCATCATTTTAAATGTATTTGCATGTATTTCCAGACGTAGCCTTGTGTTTTATTTTTTTCAAATGCCAGTGCTGGCTTCATAGCCACTAGGCTACTAGTTATGCTATTTTGTGTCTACGACAAACGCGTACAAACATTATGGACCTGAATTTTGTATAAGTACCAATGTTGTAAATGTATTTTTCATGTATATATGCTTTATGACGTTATTTTCGATTTGATCAAGAACGTAAACTTGCCAACGCTGTTTGTGTTTAACATTAGTAGCCAGTCAGTTGCTATTGTTGCCAGTCAGATGCTATTGTGTAAAACAAACGTGTATAAGGTTAAAAAAATGTAGCAAATTATCATTCAGAAACGTTTAGTAAGAGCCGTGTGTGTGAGTTGATGTAATTCTCTCTATTCTCAGTTGATGTAATCTGTATGAAAAGAGAGAGAGTCAACATGGGCAATAGCTTGCAATGAAGGCATCCGGCGTCAGCGAGCACGAGAGCTGCATGATCCTTAAGAAACGCAGATGAAATGGCGGTAAAAAAAATAAAAAAATAAAAAAAAATTGGCACAAGCCACAGGAATGAGGCATCTTTAAAAAGATGCTGCTCTTTTAGAGAGAGAGAGAGAGAGAGAGAGAGAGAGAGAGAGAGAGAGAGAGAGAAAGAGAGAGTGCAAGTATTCACGAATATCACGGTTTCATGGTGACAAAGACTGGAGCAATGACTACTAATTTTGCTTTGCCATCACACAAATAAGTTATATTTTAGAACAAATAAAGTAGAATACTATTGTTAAATTGTATTACAATTTAAATGAAGTGTTTCTACTGTATTTATGATCAAATCAAATTCAGGAGAGACTTCTTTACTAGTCTGACATCATCATACTCAGATTCTAGTTGGAATGTGAGTCTGTCTGATACTGCTCCATTGGGCTGTGATTATGGGGCATTTGAACCAAACCAGGAAAGAATTCCTCTGCACTCTACTGAATCATCAAAAATCTTGATCACGGTTCTCTGTTCCTCTTTTAAAATGAATTTGCTGAATTCAATCCAAGCGCTCTTTGGTGTGGAGGATAATTACATTGCAAATGATTACATTCACAAAACAATCTGTATGAAAATGTCAGACTGAAACAGTTAAGCTGAACATTGATTTGCCATTTGTGATGTGTAAATGTGACTGCCGTGTTAATATTTCCATCCAAATGACGTCAGAAACTTTGAAACAAACAGTTCTTGCAGCTTTCTTCCAGTAAATGGTCTTTTTGAAATGATTAACATTATGAATGCTTTTATTTTAAAACTTCAAGGAAATTATGATTGACCCATTTTAGCTATATTCAGTTTCTCTTGAGCTACAGTGTGATGTTTGAACAATGAGTATGGCATGCCGTTACCATTGTTTTATTGAATGTGATTGAACGTGACCAAATGCTTTCTCACAGGAAGGAGACATTTTACTGTATGTGTCATCCTGTGAAGGGTGATTTGAAGTACACTGGACACACACTTACGGAGACCAAAAGCACATATTGAGTTCACCTTACTTTCAGTAAGGTCCTGAGCTCATCAACACCCAATTGTTTTAGAACAAGAAAGCATTTTGGATGGAGAGATTATATTGGCTATAGAGAGATTGTGGAACACTCTGAAGTCAAAAGCTCTCGTGGGATTGATTCCACTTTCAATTTACAAACACAACAAGGACACAAAATCTCTGCATATGAGGTTGTTTCATTCTGTATATATTCTCATTTGTGCTTGTCTATGGTTATATAGTGCTTTTAAAAGACCCCATGAAAACAAAACTGGGGTTTTGTGACATTTAGTCCATGGTAAATATAACAGCTCAGCAGTTGTAGGTGAAAGTAATGGTAAGTCCTAAATATATAGCATGGATTCTTCATTGTTTTCCTCCATTAATACAAACTGTCTTGTAACTTAAAATACACTGGAGGCTTGTGCGGCTCAGCATCAAGCTTCCCTGGAGTCTTGGAAGCAGTCTTCAATGGAGGCTTGAAAAGTTTGGCAGCAAGCTACAATAGAGGCTTAGGGGGGTTCGGCAGCAGGCTTCACTGGAGGCTTGGAGGAAGGCTTCACTGGATGCTTTGGGGGTTCAGTGGCCTGCTATACTGGGGGCAGGCTTCAGTGGAGGCTTGGGGGATTTGGTGGCCAGCTTCAATGGATGCTTGGGGGGGGGGGGTGGTTCAGTGGAGGCTTATGTGCAGGCTTGAATAGTTTGGCGGCAAGCTTCAATAGAGGCTTGGGGGGTTTGCCAACAAGCTTCACTGGAGGTTTTGGCGGTTCGGTGACCAGCTTCACTGGAGGCTTGGGAGGTTCGGTGCCCTGATTCACTGGAAGCTTGGGGGATTCGGTGGCCAGCCTCACTGGAGGCTTGGGGGATTTGGCAGCAAGCTTCACTGGAGGCATGGGTGTTTCAGCAGCAAGCTTCTCTGGAGGCTTAGATGCAGTCTTCAATGGAGGCTTGAAAAGTTTGGCAGCAAGCTTCAATAGCGGCTTGGGGGATTGGGTGGCCAGCTTCACTGGAGGCTTGAGGGCAGGCTTAGGTGGAGGCTTGGTGGGTTCAGTGGCAAGCTTCAGTGGAGGCTTAGGTGCAGGCATGAATAGTTTGGCGGCAAGCTTCAATACAGGTTTTGGCAGTTCGGTGGCCAGATTCACTGGAGGCTTGGGAGGTTTACTACCCTGATTCACTGGAGACTTGGGGGTTTTGGCAGCAAGCTTCACTGGAGGCTTGGGGGATTCGGTGGTCAGTTTCCCTGGAGGCTTGGGGAATTTGGCAACCAGCTTCACTGGAGGTTTTGGCGGTTCGGTGGCCAGCTTCACTGGAGGCTTGGGAGGTTCGGTGGTCAGCTTGACTGGATGCTTGGGGGATTTGGCAGCAAGCTTCACTGGAGGCATGGGTGTTTCTGCAGCAAGCTTCTCTGGAGGATTAGGTGCAGTCTTCAGTGGAGGCTTGAAAAGTTTGGCGGCAAGCTTCACTGGAGGCTTGGGAGGTTTACTGCCCTGATTCACTGGAGGATTGGGGGATTTGGTGGTCAGTTTCACTGGAGGCTTGGGGAATTTGGCAACAAACTTCACTGGAGGCTTGGCAGGTTCGGTGGCCAGCTTCACTGGAGGTTTGGGTAGTTCTGTGGCAAGCTTCACTGGAGGCTTGGGGTTTGGCTTTACTAGAGGCTTGGGAGGTTTGGCACCCTGCTTTACTAGAGGCTTCACTAGAGGCTTGGGGGATTCGGTGGCTAGCTTCCCTGGAGGCTTGGGGAATTTGGCAACAAGCTTCACTGGAGGCTGGGGAGCCTCGGTGGCCAGCTCCATTGGAGGTTTGGGTGGTTCGGTGACCAGCTTCAATGGAGGCTTGGGGGTTGGCTTCACTGGAGGCTTGGGGGATTTGGTGGCAAGCTTCACTGGACGCTTGGGGAATTCACTGCCCTGATTCACTGGAGACTTGGGGGATTTGGCAGCAAGCTTCACTGGAGGCTTGGGGGATTCGGTGGGCAACTTCCCTGGAGGCTTGGGTGGTTTGGTGGCCAGCTTCAATGGAGGCTTGGGAAGTTCAGTGCCCTGATTCACTGGAGGCTTGGGGGATTTGGCAGCAAGCTTCACTGGAGGCTTGGGGGATTCGGTGGCCAGTTTCATTGAAGGCTTGGGGGTTTGCTTCACTGGAGGCTTGGGAGGTTCGGTGCCCAGCTTCACTGGAGGCTTGGGGGATTTGGCAGCAAGCTTCACTGGAGGCTGGAGAGGTTCGGTGGCCAGCTTCACTGGAGGCTTGGGTGGTTCAGTGGCCAGCTTCACTGGGGCTTGGGTGGTTCGACAGCAAGCTTCAATGGAGGCTTGGGGGCAGGCTTCACTGGAGGCTTGGGTGGTTCAACAGCAAGCTTCAATGGAGGCCTGAGGGCAGGCTTCACTGGAGGCTTGGGCGCAGGCTTCACTAGAGGCTTCAGAGCAGGCTTGAGCAGTATGGTGGCAATCATCCCTGGAGGCTTGGGGGCAGACTTCACTGGAAGCTTAGGTAGTTCAGCAGTAAGCATTACTGGAGGCTTAGGGTGTTCAGCAGCAAGCTTCACTGGAGGCTTGAGCAGTATGGTGGCAAACATCACTGCAGGCTTGGGCAGTTCAGCAGTAAATTTCACTGAAGGTTTGGGGGGAGGCTTTACTGGAAGCTTAGGGGGTTTGGTGGCAGGCGTCCCTGGAGTCTTGGGCAGTTCACTGACAGGCTTCACTAGAGGCTTGGCGACAGGCTTCACTGGTGGCTTAGGCAGTTTGACAATAGGCTTCAATGGAGGCTTGGCAGGAGGCGTCACTGGTGGCAACTCGGCGGCTGGCTTCAATGAAGGCCTCCCAAAAGGCTTCACTAGAAGCTTCGGCAGTTTGCTCAAAAACTTCATGGGAGGCTCATTTAGTACACTGGCAGGCTTGGGCAGTTCATCAGCAGACTTCAAAGGATAGTCAGGTGTTTCGCTGGCAGGATTCACTGGAGGCTGGCCAGCAGAATTCATTGGAGGCTCAGGTAGTACAGAAATAGGTGTCACTGATGTCTTGGGAAGTTCACAAACAGGTTGCCATTGAGGCTCAGTGGCAGGCGTCACTGGAGGCTGGGGCAGTTTGGTGCCAGACTTTACTGAAGGTTTGGGCAGTTTGCCTGCAGACTTCAAAGGAGGCAGTTCAGCGGCAGGTCTCACTGGTGGCTGGGGAAGTTCAACGATAGGCTTCACAGGAGGTTCTGTGGCAGGCGTCATGGGAGGTTCTGTGAAAGGCGTCACTGGTTTCTTGGGAAGTTTGGTGATGGGCTTCACTTGAAGCTCAGGTTTGCTGAAAGGCTTCACGAGAGGCTCAGCGGCAGGAGTCACTGGTGACTTGGGCAGCTCGCTGGCAGGCTTCACTACAGTTTCAGCCAGTTTGACTGTAGGCTTCACTTGGGGCTCAGGTAGTTCATCAGCAGGTGTCACTGGTGGCTTGGGCAGTTCAACAACAGGCTTCATGGGAGGCTCTGTGGCAGGCATCACTAGTGGCTTAGTCAGTTCAGCAGCAGGCATCACTGGTGGCTTAGATGATTCAGTGGCAGGCTTCACTAGACGTTCAGGCTGTTTCACGGTAGGCTTCACTGGAGGCTCAGGCAGTTCAGACACTGGTGGCTTGGGCAGTTTGCTGAGAGACTTTAATGGAGCCTCAGTGGAAGGAGTCACTGGAGGTTCAGGCAGTTCACTGGAAGGCTTCACTGGTGGCTTGAGTTCACCGAAAGGCTTCATGGGAGGCAGTTCAGCGGCAGACGTCACTGGTGGCTTGAGTTCACCGACAGGCTTCATGGGAGGCAGTTCAGTGGCAGGCGTCACTGGTGGATTGAGCAATTTGGTGACAGGCTTCATTGAAGACTCAGGTTCACTGAAAGGCTTCAGGGGAGGCTCCATGGCAGGGGTAATTGGTGGCTTGGGCAGTTTACCGACAGTCTTGATGGGTGGCTCTGTGGCAGGCGTCACTAGTGGCTTGGGCAGTTCGGCAGCAGGCGTCACTGGTGGCTTAGACAGTTCAGTGGCAGGCTTCACCAGACGTTCATGCTTTTTAACGGTAGGGTTCACTGGAGTTTCAGGCAGCTCAGCAGCAGGTATCACTGGTGGCTTGGGTAGTTCACAGAGAGGCTTCATTGGAGACTCGGAGGTAGGAGTTACTGGAGGTGGTTCGCAGTCAGTCTTGGGCAGTTCACAAACAGGTTTCATGGGAGGATTGACGCTAGGCATCACTGGTGGCTCGGGCAGTTCACTGCCAGGCTTCAATGGAGGCAGTTCAGCGGCAGTGGTCACTGGTGGCTTGGGCAGTTCACCCAGAGGCTTTAATTGAGGCTCTGCAGCAGAAGTCATTGGTGGCTTGGGAAGTTCATTGGCAGGCTTCACTAGAGGCACAGGCAGTTCAGCGGCAGGTGTCACTGGTGGCTTGGGCAGTTCAGTGGAAGTCTTCACTGCAGGTGCAGGCAGTTCAGCAGCAGGTGTCACTGGTGGCTTGGGCAGTTTAGCAGAAGGCGTCACTGGAGGTTTGGCCGGTTCAGCAAAAGGCGTCACTGGAGGTTTGGCCAGTTCAGCAGAAGGCATCACTGGAGGATTGGCCAGTTCAGCAGAAGGCGTCACTGGAGGTTTGGCCAGTACAGCAGAAGGCGTCACTTGAGGTTTGGCCAGTTCCCTGACAGGCTTCACAGGAGGCTCGGCGGCAGGTGTCACTGGTGGCTTGGGAAGTTCAGTGGCAGGCTTCACTGAAGGTGCCGGCAGTTCTTCAACGGGAGGCTTGGTGGCAGCAGTCACTCGTGGCTTGGGCAGTTCAGCGGCAGGTGTCACTAGTGGATTGGATGGTTCACCGAAAGGCTTCAATTGAGGCTCTGCGGCAGGAGTCACTGCTGGCTTGGGCAATTTAGTTTTGGACATCACTAGCGGTGAAGGCAGTTCAGTGGCGTGCTTCAATGGAGCTGCGGTCAGTTCAGCAGCAGATGTCACTGGTGGCTTGGGTAGTTCACCAACAGGTTTCAATGGAGGCTTGGCCGCAGCGGTCACTGGTGCCTTGGGCAGTTCATCAACACGCTTCCCATGAGGCTCAATGGCAGGGGTCACTGGTTCTTTTGTCAGTTCAGTGGCAGGTTTCACTGGAGGTTCAGACAGTTTGATGGTAGGCTTCACTGGAGGCTCAGTGGAAGGAGTCAGAGGCTTGGAGAGTTCACCAACAGGTTTCAACGGAGGCTCGGTGGCAGGCATCACTGGAGGTGCAGGCTGTTCAGCAGCAGGCATCACTGGAGGCTTGGCCAGTTCACCAACCGGTTTAAATGGAGGCTTGGCGGCAGCTGTGACCGGTGGCTTGGGTATTTCAGTGGCAGGAGTCACTGGTGGCTTGGGAAGTTCAGAGGTAGGCTTCACTGGACGCGGAGGCAGTTCAGCAGCAGGTGTCACTGGTGGCTTGGGTAGTTCTCTGAGAGGCTTCAATTGAGGCTCAGTGGCAGGAGTCAAAGAAGGCTTGGACAGTTCGCCAACAGGTTTCAATGAAGGCTTGGCTGCAGCTGTGACTGGTGGCTTGGGCAATCCAGTAGCAGGCTTCAATGGATGCTTGGGCAGTTCGCTGGCAAGCTTCACTGGAGGAAGTTCGGCGGCAGTCGTCACTGGTGGCCCGAGCAGTTCGGTGGAAGGCCTCACTTGAGGCTTGGGTTCACCAACAGGCTTCAAGGGAGGCTCAGCGGTAGACGTCACTGGAGGTTTGGCCAGTTCGCTGACAGGCTTCATGGGACGCTCGGCGGCAGGCATCACTGGTGGCTTGGGCAATTCATTTGCAGGCTTTAACGGAGGCTCGGAAAGTTCTCTGGCAGGCTTCACTGGAGGTTCAGGCAGTTCAGCAGCAGGTGTCACTAGTGGTTTGGGCAGTTCAGCAGCAGGCATCACTGGAGGTTTGGCCAGTTCACTGACAGGCTTCACGGGAGGTTTGGCGGCAGGTGTCACTGATGGCTTGGGTAGTTCAGTGGCAGGATCCAGTGGAGGCTTGGGTTCCCCAACAGGCTTCATGGGAGGCTCGGCGGCAGGCGTCACCAGAGGTGCAGCCAGTTCACCAACCGGTTTCAATGGAGGCTTGGCGGCAGCTGTGACTGGTGGCTTGGGTATTTCAGTGGCAGGCTTCAATGGAGGCTTGGGCAGTTCGCTGGCAGGCTTCACTGGAGGCTCAGGCAGTTCAGCAGCAGATGTCACCGGTGGCTTGGGTAGTTCACTGAGAGGCTTCAATGGAGGCTTTGTGGCAGGAGTCACTGGTAGCTTGGGAAGTTCAGAGGTAGGCGTCACTGGAGGTGCAGGCAGTTCAGCGGCAGGCGTCACTGGAGGCTTGGCCAGTTCACCAACTGGTTTCAATGGAGGCTTGGTGGCAGCTGTGACTGGTGGCTTGGGTATTTCAGTGGCAGGCTTCAATGGAGGCTTAGGCAGTTCGCTGGCAGGCTTCACTGGAGGCTCAGGCAGTTCAGCAGCAGATGTCACCAGTGGCTTGGGTAGTTCGCTGAGAGGCTTCAATGGAGGCTCAGTGGCAGGAGTCAATGAAGGCTTGGACAGTTCGCCAACAGGTTTCAATGGAAGTTTGGCGGCAGCTGTGACTGGTGGCTTGGGTAATTCAGTGGCAGGCTTCAATGGAGGCTCAGTGGAAGGAGTCAATGATGGCTTGGACAGTTCGCCAACAGGTTTAAATGGAGGCTTAGCGGCAGCTGTGACTGGTGGCTTGAGAAATTCAGAAGCAGGATTCAATGGAGGCTTGGTCAGTTCGCTGGCAAGCTTCACTGCAGAAAGTTCGGTGGCAGTCGTCACTGGTGGCCCGAGCAGTTCGGTGGAAGGCCTCACTGGAGGCTTGGGTTCACCAACAGTCTTCAAGGGAGGCTCAGCAGCAGGCGTCACTGGAGGTTTGGCCAGTTCGCTGATAGGCTTCAAGGGAGGCTCGGCGGCAGGCGTCACTGGTGGCTTGGGCAGTTCAGTGGCAGGCTTCAGTGGAGGCTTGGGTTCGCCAACAGGCTTCATGGGAGGCTCGGTGGCAGGCATTACTGGAGGCCTGAGTGGTTCTCCGACAGGATTCACATGAGGCTCAATGGCAGGGGTCACTGGTTCTTTTACCAGTTTAGTGGCAGGTTTCACTGGAGGTTCGGGCAGTTTGACGGTAGGCTTCACTGAAGGCTCAGGCAGTTCAGAAGCAGGTGTCACTGGTGGCTTGGGTTGTTTGCTGAGAGTCTTCAATGGAGGCTCTGTGGTAGGAGTCACTGGAGGCTTGGGCAGTTCGCCAACAGGTTTCCCTGGAGGCTCAGAAGCCAGCATCACTGGTGGCTTGGACAATGCAGTGGAAGCCTTCACTGGAGGCTCGGGCAGTTTTACGGTAGGCTTCATTGGAGGGTCACGCAGTTCAGCAGCAGGTTTCACTGGTGGCTTTGGCAATTCAGTGGCAGGCTTCACTGGAGGCTTAGGCAGTTTGATGGTAGGCTTTACTGGAGGCACAGGCAGTTCAGTAGCAGACATCACTGGTGGCTTCAGTTCGGTGCCATGCTCCACTGGAGTTTCGGGCAGTTCGCCAACAGGCTGCAAAGGAGGCTCAGGCTGAACACCCACAGGCTTCACTGGAGGTTCAGCAGTAGGCTCCACTTGAGGTTCAGCATCAGGCTTCACTGCACATTTACAGATGGTCAGCATTAGTCTGTTCAATCATCATTCAGTATACACATCTTGTATACTTGTTTATCACTACAATACAAATGATTGACTAAAAATTAATCAAGTGTTCTAAAATAGAAGCAAATAAAGTGAGGGACTATACATTAAATGTCTACATTTCTGTAATCTTAATTCTCTGGCATTTGCATACATTTAATATGGCCATATTTAAGCATGACTCTTTGGAGGTTTATGAAATGGTTACTTTTGAATAATATTAGATTTTTAGCATTAAAATGTTGTAGAAGTGTTTTTCATTGTTAGTTTGTTAACTTCTTCAACATTTAAAAACACATTTTAAATCAATTTTAAATTTATTTAATCTGTTATTATCTTCATTAACGTACTATGAACTAACAGGAATTATCAAGGTAGACTAGCTCAAATATTCATACATGCAGTAAAAACATAGGCTACATTGTATAATGCATAAAGCTCATGAGAGCCAACTAATACATCCTTGTTAACTAATGAGACTTGCAAAGTATTACATGAAACTTGCATGCGTTTTTAGGTTACAGCTAAAGAAACACGTTTGACCTGTAAAATTTGAATGTGTAAATTTTCTGTTGAACTTTTTTTCATTTTAATAAAAATTCACATTTATACATTTATTTCATGTAGCGCATTTCTGTTCAGCACTGAAAAAAAAAAAAAAAAAAAGTTAATAATTGGTTATCAGCATGTACGGTCAAACCTATCGGTAAAAATCCACTATTGGTCGATCTCTAATTTGAAGTAATAAACATGTTATTCATTTTCTACAGCCTCCCATGCTTGAAACTGTGCTATCAGCTGAATACTTTTCTGAATATATTAGGGCAAAGCACAAAAAGAAACAATGTAACATTCAAGCTGGGATACAAACAAGCAAATATGTCATTAGGTAGATTAATGTTCTCGCCATTACCCAAGTCATCCATCAAGACCAGTTTCATTAAAATAGGCTAAATTAATAGTTATTAGCATTTTTGTAAATTTGAATATAATTTTTGACCCCAAGGTGGCACTTATGTGTCAACTTATGTGACACATATTGAGCTGTGCTAACGAACGGAATTTCTTACCTGATAACTGCTTGAAGCTGCTTTTATTAGTAATCTTTTATTTCACTAGCAACTAGAATAAGTGCATCAACCAGCTCACATTTTCTTCTGTAAATCGGAAACCAAAGAATAAAAGTGTTGATTTTCATCTTTTATTTCAATGTATTTGAAGTGGATTTATTTAACTATGTTGCTGGGCTTGCAGTGGTCACTGCAAATGGTACTAGCTGCTTGGAATAATGTTAGTTAGTTATTAGAGTACAAACACAATTTTTCTTTTTTTTTTTTTTTCTTTTTTTTTTAAATCTGAGAGTCCTCCCAGTCTCAGTCCTATAGGCTTCTATTGTAAGTGAAACCTGCCAGTCCAGAATGTTAGTAAAAACATTGTTTAAATAGTCCAAGTGACTACAGGCTCAACCTTAATTTATCAAGTGAAGAGAATATGATACTAAAATTTCACATGAAAACAATGCCAACTGCTGGCATTTGGTCAGAGAGAATCATCACCATTCACTGCGTCATCAGTACACGCACCAGATGGACTATCCAGAATAACCCTGCTTTTTAAATAGTTTGGCCAGAGATCGTTACTAAACTAACTACTTTTTTTATGGCAACTCGGAAGAATACGCCTTGGTCGGCAGGTCGGCACAATATGCATTGGTACAAATTACTATTTTAAAGTTTCATTGATACAACATCGCTCCGAGTTGAGAAAGAAATGCATAGTGCCATAATTGCTCGATGACATAAGGAGGATGACATAAATTGGTTTTTGAACCGGTTCATTAAACTGTCCGAAACATTAAACTGGTTCGCGGAAATGAATCGTAGGCTTCTTTACTTGACGTACTCGGTAATGTTAACTCAGACAAGCACATCATTTAAAAACAATTATCATAGGCCTATACGATACAGCTCTGATATTTACAGTACACTTTAAAGGTGCTCTAAGCGATGTCACACGTTTTTTAGGCCCAAACATTTGTCACATATACATCTCCTAATTATCCGCTAGCTTCCTGTCCTCTAAACACACTGTTTAAAAAAAAAAAAAAAAAAAAAAAAAAAAGCAGATGCGGACAACCCAGGCACCATAAACATCACCCTTTCGCCAATGGCGTATTTTTGTGTTTAATGTAGAAATTAGTTAGTTATTCTAAAAATGCACATTTCTTTCATACTTCAGACAATATTCAGTGAAATTCATTCATTAAAAATATATACATGTATATTAGATATTTCAGAAAATAAATAAAAGCAGGGACAATTAGTGTAAATCGCAGCATCAGCTTCAGGTTGGGCATTGGTGTTTAGCCTCTCTTTACTTCTGGGTTTCTTTCCACTGGGACCTTGCTTTTGATTTCAAAATAGCAGCTGTGTGAAATCAGAGTATAGGACTGTGAAAATATATAATTACAAAGACTACAAATCATAAAGCTGTACATTTTCTCTCAATGAATGAAGCTGACTTTACTGAAGCTAACATCTCTCATTTTTCTAAAGCAGACCACCATGCCTGAGTGTTTTGGACCACTGCACACATAAGCAACGGTTATCTTGCTCATTGTTTTGTTTCCTGGGAGATGTAGTTCATTGCAAGATTTTCACATAAAACTAAATGTTACTCTCCTGTTATGACAAACATCATGTGTAATTCAGGGAACAGTTCAGGCAGAATAAAGAGAAAAGTTGTCTCTCGCCATGACTATACATTTTTTTTCTCTCCAAAATAAGGCCCCATGAGGCGAAGGCGGAAGGGAGGGACTTAGGCTCTTTAATTTTTTTTTTTTTTTTTTTTTTTTTTTGTCTGACTGATATTTTGTTTTCAAAATTGTCCTTGTGTTTTTGGATGGGTTACTCGTTTTCGGAATTGTGATTTATTTTGCACTTCTCAGCCACCGTACATTGCTTAATTCAAACATACAGTTTTACAGTTTTTGTAAGCTAAAAAAAAAATCGTCTCACCTGCGAGTCCAGCGTCTTTTGCGCTCAAACAAGCACACAGACACAGTAAAACAGCACTCAACGAGCAGTGACCGTGAGCTGTCATCATTGACCTGCGACCTCACGAACTCAGCTGGAAGAAGCTAGCTCATAAAACTACAACGAAAACTGTGTTGCTGCATCAAAAAATCTGCTAAATCCCACAGGAAACGCAGTGAAATGTTTTAAAGCGCACACGTTTTTAAAGATCAATGATATCTGGGCAACTCCACCACTGATGCAACTCCACCACAGCTTTCTAGCCTGTAATCTTGAAGACCTTGATTATGTTCAGGTGTGTTTGATCAGGGTTGGATGAGCGGATGGATCGCTTTGTTCACGATGCATATCTTAATAATTACAATGAGACGATTGTTAGTTTCTATGGCAACATTATCAACGCCAAAATAGGCTTGTTTGAGATGCGCCTTGCCTCGCCAAAAATGTAAGGCTTGTTTGAGATGAACAAAATCTGCGCAGAACCGATCACCAGTGATCAGCGCTAGATGCATGCTGGTTAGAAATGTGTCCTAGAAATGTGTCCGAGAGAGCGGTCCGCCTGGCTCTGATGTCATGTACGTCAAAAAACTCTCGCGAGCGCAAGGCGCACCTGTCGGATTCTGCAGTCGCGCGCAGTTGCTCTCCACCGACTGCGCTGATCAAAAGCACGATGGGAATAACGACGTGCTGACGACACAGCTTAATGCTCATTGGTTTAAACAACAGTGATGAAGGTAAATTCCATATTCATAAAGCTAAATTCTCCAAATCAAGCCATGTATTATTTTTTTTCAAATTAAAACTGATATATTGTGAGTCTCTTAAACGGGTTAAAAGCTATGTCAGTAACTCAAATATAGCCTACTCTAAAATGTTCAAGTGAAAATTAGAAAACTCTTTTTTATAGATGATGAAGTTTGTAAATCTGCCTATTTAAGCTATGTATTATTATTTTTTAATTAATTTTATTCTGATGTTTATTTATTTGTCGCTGTATTTGTTTCACGAACTGTGGTGCTTGTATGTTTGTAACTTGCATTAATAAAAAAATAAAATAAAAAAATAACAGTGATGAATTGTTCTCTTTTATAATGTAATCTAATTTTATAATATAATATAATCTCTCTGACATGGGTTAGTATGTCATTTTTATTAAAACAATTTATAAAAACACGTCTGTATTAAATAAAAAAATGATTGGTAAAAACATATTTGGAATGTAATTAAATAAAGAGTACTGTGGGTGTCTTGTTCATTATATTTATTTTCATAAAAGCAACAGAACTTAAATCACATCCAGTTTATTAGCAACACGTGCACGAGCGTGAATCCCGCGATATCAGACTTTGATCTCACAGGTGTCTGATCCACTGCGAGAACCAAGACCTGTCCAGCTTGATTGCGCTTTTTTCACTCCTCCCCTCACTGCAGACGCCTACTCTGTGCGGCTGATTGTAACCAATAGTCTAATTGCCGCGTACTGGTGGTGAGGAGGTGCTGCCGTGAAGTCGGACACTTTCTGGTTCCCGCCGTAGTAACCACACACATGGTGTTTGCATACTTTACAACAGCCGAAGTGAAATAATTGCAATATTTGTAAAATGCACAGATGTTTCAGAGACATTTTCATTCAATACTTTATGTACTGCTTCAAACAGCGTCTGTTTGAACGAGAATAAAGTTAAAGGACAACTCCGGCGCAAAATGAACTTTTGGTCTAATTACACATTGTTACTCAACCGTTATCTGAGATTTGTTTTCATGATTGCCGAATGAAAATAGTTTTATCTCTAAAAACAGTTTAGCCTATTAACGCTAGTATAAAGCTAGTATGTAGGGCATAGAGTAATGACAAATAAAATCGTTTGTTATTACCACTAACAAGGCTCAAAATAGCCCCACACAAACACGGTAGCATAATAAGGGTCCCTACATTCAAACCGAAGCATTGAGAGATAAGCGTGAAGGGTGCTAGTGTTTTTCATTTTTCTTTATAAATACATGTTGTTGATTGATGAAGCCTAGATTACCTAATTAGATATGTGGATGTACATTTTTTTCTTTTATTCCTCTGTATATGGTTTTATTGTCTGTACAGCACCATGGTCAACCCTGTTGTTTTATTCAGTGCTTTATAAATAAATTTGAATTTGAATTTGAATTTGAATATCACCCCTGGCCCCGCCCTCATAAACACTTCCCGATGTTATGTTCTCATTCACGGTTCTCCTGTCTGATTAGAGGACATCTACGCCGGTTCACTCATGCAGAGAAAATCCTTCCTCTCTTCCCCACTCAAAGACAACAATTACAAATGCTTGAAAAAGTTTTAAGTTCGATATTCTCCAGACATTTCTTTTCCCTTGCCACTGTTTTATAACATTTACATTTCTTCTTTTAGCTGACACTTTTGTTCAAAGCGACTTAAAATTGCCATATATGTCGGAGGTCACATGCCTCTGGAGCAACTAAGGGTTAAGTGTCTTGCTCAGGGACACATTGGTGTCTCACAGAGGATTCGAACCCGGGTCTCCCACATCAAAGGCATGTGTTTTATCCACTGTGCCATCACCACTCCTACCAACACTATAAGGTGATATGAATAGCATGCTTGTGTTCCATATTGTGGTGTTCAGCAATTTTAACATAGTATTGTCATCATATCAGTGTAGATGTAGATGAACCAAATAAAATCAAGTAATAAGTATTGTGATACTTGGTGCAACAGTGACACTCTAGTCCCAAAAAGTATTGCTATATGTGTCTTAACATTTCTCCCAAAACACTCTTACTCAATGTTGTCCCAAGGTGAGTCATTTTTCCCTGTTGCATCTACAGAAAGTTTAAGGGTTCCCCCACCTGCCAAATCCCACTTCAACCACTGATTATAGGGTATAATGGGACTAGAGGCACATCTTGTGCATTTCACTTCTAAAATGGATATGTTTTTATTGAACATTGATGGATCAACATATTTTGTGTGAAGCTAAATCATAAAAGTGGTTTGTTTGTCTGTTGTTTTATTTGTTTGGTTGTTTAAAAATTGTAAATGTATGAGGTGGCAAGGTCCCGAAAGGCTCACCAGAAGGCACAAAGAATTTATGAAAACATTTCAGCTAATACTTTATGTTTTTAATCATTTCTAAGTTAATACAGTTCAAAACAATCACTTCAGCCAAGTTTGTACTATTTTCAGTTCATTGTGTTCTGTTATCAGAGGTAACTGTCTAAGTTATGTATTTCAGAAATGTAGCTCCATCAAAATCAGTTAGTGAAAAAAAAATATTAATTTAAACAATGTAATAATTTAATGTGCAGAAACAATGAGTTTATTAATACTTCTTTGTCAACAACTGATTATGACATTTAGAACAATATAGCAGTGTGCATGTTGATGCAGAATTCGCCACATCTGATGTCTTCGCGGGGGTTGGTGCCATCTCTCCTGGTGTTGGGCATCTGAAGTCTTCATAATAGGGTGGATCAAACCTGTAGCTAACCATACTCTCTAGTTACCTCAGGATGGGCATCCTAAAATAAAACAGAGGAGCAAATAGAAAATAAGTAGTGTAGCTACTGTTCAGAATATCTATGCAAGAATAATCATGTGCATTTGATTTAAGGTTATGAGATGTATTATATGAATACTAGGCTAAAGAGATGTGTTTTTAAATTCAGCGGGTCGTCTCGCCTGATCTGAGGTCGAAGCTGGGTTGTCGGAAGCGGCCGCCGCTGGGCGGTTGGACCCGGCGGACTGGCCGACGACCTAGGGGCGTCCCACGACCCGCCGAAACTCCGCCGCCCTCTCCCAAGGTGCGAGCGAGACCCCCACGACGGCGTCCGCCGGCCGAGGCGGGTGAGAGCCTCCTCGCGCGGGCAGCGGTGGTTTTGAAGCACCGGCAGCCGCGGAGGAGGACACCCGGGTCCTCGGAGCGACGAGGCGCCGCCCTCCCCCCGAGGGGAAGACGGAGGCCTCTCCCCGAAAAGGAGAGAGCGGGGAGACGGGACGAGGGGACGGTCTGCGTTTAGGAGGACGGAGGCGGTGAGGGCCTACGACGCTCCAGCCGCGGGGCCCGGAGGCTCCGATCGATAGCAAAGCGACCCTCAGACAGACGTAGCCCCGGGAGGAACCCGGGGCCGCAAAGTGCGTTCGAAGTGTCGATGATCAATGTGTCCTGCAATTCACATTAGTTCTCGCAGCTGGCTGCGTTCTTCATCGACTCACGAGCCGAGTGATCCACCGCTAAGAGTTGTACTCTTGGTTTTTTGGTTTTTCGAGGCCGACCGACACAAACCGGGGAATTGGGGAAAAAAAATGAGTGGTGGCGAGACCCGGACGGGCGCCCCCTCCCCCCCGGTCGAGGGATGGGGAGGAGGTCTTTAAACCCACGGCCCCCCCACTGGGGGGGAGACCTAACGGGTACCCGTCGGGGTTGCGACTCTCGCCACTCGTTTTTCACCGAAGGGGGTTCCGGGCCCGCCGGGGCGGACCCGAGGCGTCTGGTTTGTTTCGTTCCTGGGACTTGGTGAGGCCCGGAGACCTGTAATGATCCTTCCGCAGGTTCACCTACGGAAACCTTGTTACGACTTTTACTATCTCTAGATGGTCAAGTTTGATCGTCTTCTCGACGCTCCGCCAGAACCCAGCGAGGAGCTCCGGCGGGGCCGATCCAAGGACCTCACTAAACCACCCAATCGGTAGTAGCGACGGGCGGTGTGTACAAAGGGCAGGGACTTAATCAACGCGAGCTTATGACCCGCGCTTACTGGGAATTCCTCGTTGATGGGAAACAGTTTCAATCCCCAGTCCCGATCACGAGCGGGGTTCAGCGGGTTACCCGCGCCTCTCGGCACAGGGTAGGCACACGCTGATCCGCCCATTGTGGCGCGCGTGCAGCCCCGGACATCTAAGGGCATCACAGACCTGTTATTGCTCCATCTCGCGTGGCTGAACGCCACTTGTCCCTCTAAGAAGTTGGACGCCGACCGCTCGGGGCCGCGTAACTAGTTAGCATGCCGGAGTCTCGTTCGTTATCGGAATGAACCAGACAAATCGCTCCACCAACTAAGAACGGCCATGCACCACCACCCACAGAATCGAGAAAGAGCTATCAATCTGTCAATCCTTTCCGTGTCCGGGCCGGGTGAGCTTTCCCGTGTTGAGTCAAATTAAGCCGCAGGCTCCACTCCTGGTGGTGCCCTTCCGTCAATTCCTTTAAGTTTCAGCTTTGCAACCATACTCCCCCCGGAACCCAAAGACTCGTGGTTTCCCGCACACTGCCCGGCGGGTCATGGGAATAACGCCGCCGGATCGCGGGTCGGCATCGTTTACGGTCGGAACTACGACGGTATCTGATCGTCTTCGAACCTCCGACTTTCGTTCTTGATTAATGAAAACATTCTTGGCAAATGCTTTCGCTCTCGTCCGTCTTGCGCCGGTCCAAGAATTTCACCTCTAGCGGCGCAATACGAATGCCCCCGGCCGTCCCTCTCAATCATGGCCCCGGGTTCCAGAAACCCACAAAATAGAACCGGAGTCCTATTCCATTATTCCTAGCTGCGGTATTCAGCGGCGACGGGCGGCCTGCTTTGAACACTCTAATTTTTTCAAAGTAAACGCTTCGGGCCCCGAGGACCGGACACCCAGTTAAGGGCATCCGGGGGGCGCCGTGAGGCAGGGGTCCGGGACAGGCGGTGGCTCGCCTCGCGGCGGACCGCCGGCCCGCTCCCGAGATCCAACTACGAGCTTTTTAAAGAAGAAAATTTCAAATGACATTTAGAGGCTTTTGCATCATATATATACTGATACATATAGCAGACCCAAACTTTTTGGAAAATACAATTAGTATGAGCCACCAGTCATTTAAGTATATATATAAATATATATATATATATACAGTGCCCTCCACAATTATTGGCACCCCTGTTTAAGATGTGGTTGAGGACTTTTAAAAATTGTCCCTTTTTTTTAAACAACATAGAACCCAAATGCAAAAAAAGAGAAAAATCCAACCTTTTATTCAAGTACATTACTTTGGTGGTAAAAAAAAATATAAAAATTTAGAAAAATAAAAACTTCAAATCCTGTGTCCCACAATTATTGGCACCCCTAACAATTCCGCTGAAAAAATGTAATTGATTTTTTAAAAAAATATATATATTTTCTGTAGTTGCTAATGTTGATCAGGATATCTAGGAACTTTTAATTAGTAATTCATGACTTCCTATTTCCCTGGGGTATAAATATGACATAACACAGAGGCCTAATTCTCTTACCCATTTGTCAACATGGCAAAGACAAGAGAACACACCATTCAAGTAAGGCAGATGTGTGATGACCTTTATAAGTCAGGCAATGGCTACAAGAAAATAGCCACTCACCTTATATTGCCCATATCTAAAGTTAGAGGAATCATTAAGAAGTTTAAAACAACAGGAACAGTGACAAACAAGGCTGAAAGAGGTCCCAAGTTTATCTTGCCACAACGCACTGTGAGGAGGATGCTAAGAAAAGTAAAAAAAGTCCTAAGCTCACTGTCACAGAATTGCATCAAATAGTGGCATCTTGGGGTCACAAAATCTCCAAAACAACCATCAGACGCTCTCTACATGCCAACAAGATGTTTGGGAGGCATGCTAGGAAAAAGCCTTTTCTCACTAACACTGACAAACGTAAACGTCTGGAGTTTGCCAAGCGGCACTGGGACTTCATCTGGGATCGTGTGCTTTGGTCGGATGAGACTAAGATTGAGCTTTTTGGCAACAAACACTCTAAGTGGATCTGGTGTAAAACAAAAGATGTGTATGCTGAAAAGTACCTCATGCCCACCGTGAAGTATGGTGGAGGATCTGTGATGCTGTGGGCCTGTTTCTCTTCCAAAGGCCCTGGGAACCTTGTTAGGGTGCATGGCATTATGAACGCTTTGAACTACCAGGACATTTTAAATAAAAACCTGATGGCCTCTGCCAGAAAGCTGAAGATGGGTCGTCATTGGGTCTTTCAGCAGGATAATGATCCAAAACGTGTGGCAAAATCTACACAAAAATGGTTCAGTCACAAACTCAAGGTCCTCCCATGGCCATCTCAGTCCCCAGACCTCAATCCAATCGAAAACCTGTGGGGTGAGCTAAAGAGGAGAGTGCACAAGAGAGGGCCCAGGATACTGGATGATCTAGAAAGATTTTGCAAAGAAGAATGGTCAAAGATCCCTCTGTTCTCCAATCTTGTGAAATGTTATAGGAGGAGATTAAGTGCTGTCTTGTTGGCAAAAGGGGGTTGTACAAAGTATTAACATCAGGGGTGCCAATAATTGTGGGACACATGATTTGAAGTTTTTATTTTTTTAAATTTTAAAAAAATTTTTTACCACCAAAGTAATGTACTTAAATAAAAGGTTGGATTTTTCTCTTTTTTTGCATTTGGATTCTATGTTGTTTAAAAAAAAGGGAGAATTTTTAAAAGTCCTCGACCACATCTTAAACAGGGGTGCCAATAATTGTGGAGGGCACTGTATATACATATATATATATATATATCACAAAGTGAAAAAGTGACGTTTTGAGGTTATTGAAACCATTACCATGATACATACACAATAATATTAACAGAACTGCTCCTGATGAACAGAATTAACCATCAAATGAGCCTGGGCTGGAAATAACAGCATACCTGCTAGGGCTCTTTCATTTTATCCGATATTCAAATTACTATCCGTTTTTTAAAGGTTTTAAACTGCCATGTGTAGCGCATTTGTTAGAGTCTATGATTAGATTGTTTGTTTTTATTTTTTTATTTTATTGTTTGCTATCTCATCCAGTAGCGAGTGCTCTAAACGTATTGTAGTGTAGGCCCATGACTAAATCAAGCAAATAATAGCCAATAGCCACCCTGTTTTGAAAATTGAAGATGACGCACAGAATGGCTTCCCCAAGAAACGGAAGAGGTGGCTCCGGCCTCCGGCTCCTATGATGGCAAGCTTGTTTGGGGGCATCTATAAACCGATCGACTCGGCCACACGCAACAGTAATGCCTCGTTTCCACCAAAAAAGAACTGGTTCGGAACTGGTACTCGTTCAAAGTTGGTTCAACTTGCGAACCTTCTCAAAACCTGTTTGTTTTCCCACTGACTAGAGAGTCCAGCGAACGATGTAATTATGTCACTGTGTACATCGCATACGTCTTAGCCATGATGTGGTAAAAGAACAGTTCTAATCCAGCAAAGAGTTGTTGCCTCTTTGGAACCAATTTTCCTGGCAGAAAACCGATTCTCAAAATGCTTTGGTAGAAAATGGATATAATGGTATCCAGGAGCGTCACTACATGACTGAACCTCCTCTCCCCACAGACAGCCACACGCTGCATTGGTGGAGAGACACGGGCTGCAACAAATACCCACTTCTCTCAACATTGAGACGCAAATACCAGTGTGTGCTAGGCACGTCTGTGTGCTCCGAAAGTATTCTCCACCGTGGGGAACATAGTCAATAAAAAGAGAGCTCAAGAACAAGTTAGTTGGTGTTTCTAGCAAACAATATTAGGAAATGAATTAGGCTAGACCTTGCTCCTACTGTGGTTTAAGTGGTCACGTTATGGTTTGTGCCATGCTGTTCTTTTTTTTTTTCTTGTAGCCTAATTGTGATTGGCTATGCATAGTGGCACTTCATATAGATTGAGGTGATAACCTGCAGTTTAAAACAAAGTAAAAAAGAAAAAAAAGTTATGGCCTTTGACCTTTTTATGACTGTCAGACTGTTGATACTTTGAGATTCAATCTGTTACAACTTTTTTAAATGTAGTGGTGGGGGGGTGGGTTTGCATTGTTGGATATTTGTGACAGTCCTAATACTGCATGAAAATCTTGAAGTAAACGGACAACATGAATTACTCGTGATGCAACTTAACAGTACGTTTTCGTTTCTTCATAACATTTCCCCTCATTAGCAAAATCCTACATTTAATTTCTGGTAGCTTAGTTCAAAACTTAACCATCTCGGTCATGTTTTTTGCTAATAATTGTTTTGAAACTCTTGCTGCCTAGCTCCTGGTGAGAATGGAAACCAGTATGTTGTAAAATGACTTGGGATCCCAAAAATAAACTCTCCAATAAAGTACTTAAAAAAAGAAAGAAAAAAAAATCCCACACAGAAAGTAGTCTTAAACATTTATTTGGTGAAACCATGGCATTCAGCACTGAATTAATCAGAACTCCAGTTGGCTATGCATTATGCTAAACGGGCGGTATGCTGGAAAGCGTAACCGGATGGTTGGGCGGCAGGCTTCAAAGGAGGCATGTATAGTTTGGCAAAAAACTTAACTGGAGGCTTAGGGGCAGGCTTCATTGGAGGCTTGGGTGGTTCTGCAACAAGCTTCACTGGAGGCTTGGGGGCAGGCTTCATTGAAAGCTTGGGTGGTTCTGCAACAAGCTTCACTGGAGGCATGGGGGCAGGCTTCATTGGAGGCTTGGGTGGTTCTGCGACAAGCTTCACTGGAGGCTTGGGGGCAGGCTTCATTGAAAGCTTGGGTGGTTCTGCAACAAGCTTCACTGGAGGCATGGGGGCAGGCTTCATTGAAAGCTTGGGTGGTTCTGCAACAAGCTTCACTGGAGGCATGGGGGCAGGCTTCATTGGAGGCTTGGGTGGTTCTGCGACAAGCTTCACGGAAGGCATGGGGGCAGGCTTCATTGCAGGATTAAACAGTCTGGCAGTAAGCTTCACTGGAGTCTTGGGCAATTCATCAGCAATCTTCACTGCAGGCTTTGGCGGTTCAATGGCAGGCTTTCCTGGTAGCTTGGAGGGCTCTGTGACTAGCTTCATGGGCAGTTCGGCTGCAGGGTTCACTGGCAGCTTTAATGGCTCGGTTACTGGCTGCACTCGAGGAATGGGCAGTTCGGTGACTCGCTTCACTGGAGGCTTGGACATTTCGGGGGCAGGCTGCACTGGAGGCTCGGCCAGTTCGGGGGCAGGCTGCACTGGAGGCTTGAGGGGATCAGTGACTGGCTTCACTTGAGGAACGGGCAGTTCGGGGGCAGGCTGCACTGGAGGCTCGGCCAGTTCGGGGGCAGGCTGTACTGCAGGCTTGAGGGGCTCGGTGACAGGCTTCACTTGAGGCTCGGCCAGTTCGGGGGCAGGCTGCACTGGAGGCTCGGCCAGTTCGGGGGCAGGCTGCACTGGAGGCTTGAGGGGCTCGGTGACAGGCTTCACTTGAGGCTCGGCCAGTTCGGGGGCAGGCTGCACTGGAGGCTCGGCCAGTTCGGGGGCAGGCTGCACTGGAGGCTCGGCCAGTTCGGGGGCAGGCTGCACTGGAGGCTTGAGGGGATCAGTGACTGGCTTCACTTGAGGAACGGGCAGTTCAGGGGCAGGCTGCACTGGAGGCTCGGCCAGTTCGGGGGCAGGCTGTACTGGAGGCTTGAGGGGATCGGTGACTGGCTTCACTTGAGGAGCGGGCAGTTCGGGGGCAGGCTGCACTGGAGGCTTGAGGGGCTCAGTGACTGGCTTCACTTGAGGAACGGGCAGTTCGGGGGCAGGCTGCACTGGAGGCTTGGGCACAGGCTTAACTAGAGTGATAAAATTATAAGACAAACTAAAAAATAAGATAAAATAGATAGCTGACCCAAACACTAATAATAAACATAAGATCACACTCTTGCACTGTACTCCCTCTTTTAGATAGCTTTATCTTTTTTTTTTTTTTTTTTTTTTTTTTTTTTTTTTTTTTTTTTACAAAAATAACACCACAGGCATTAATAAACACCTGATGGATCAGATTATGTCAAACTCAATTTCGACCAAAAGTGGAGATAGAACCTTATTCTAAGCTCACGACATAACACGCACAAAAAAATAGGGACTGAAGTGATATGGGGGAAGGTTATCATATATTATCTTATTATATCATCTTTTATTTTAAAAAGGATTAACAATGGCAATTGGTACATAGGAGAAAGGATAAAAATCAACTAATACAATATTGGGAATATGGTGGTAGTGGGGGTGGTGATGGTAAGGACAACCCGGTCTCATCCCAAGACGTCATATAACTGACGTTTTGGGACGTCTTTTGACCATACGTCAATATTCGCCTTTTTAGGGCCCCCTTAAACGTCGGTAGATGAGGTTATGGGATCCTAACTCTACCCCATACCTAAACCTAACCCTAAACCTAACCCGTCACCTAACTGACGTTAAAGGTAAAGCGTCAGTTGTATGACGGCCCGGGATCGCCATCTACCGACGTTTAAGGGGGCCCTAAAAAGGCGGATATTGACATATGGTCAAAATACGCCCCAAGACGTCAGTTATATGACTTTTTGGGATGAGACTGTGTTAGTAAGGACAATGGCAAAAAATAATAAATAGTTACTTTGTTTACACATACCCACAAACACATACTTGGATCAAACACTTAAATCACTCTGTCACTTCGGGAATTACAAGATTTCTCACTATTGCACTATGTTGGTTTGCATGCATGTTTGACTTTAATAAAAAAAAATAATAATAAGATCACAAATACCTGTATAAGGGGCCATACACTGACGTCCACATCCATTGCGGCAGCATTTCTCATTGTTCGGACAGTCGCTGTCAAATGCACACAGATCAGCACAATTACCTGATCCAGATTTTACACTTGGGCACACTCCTGGCTTTGCTGTTATATACAGACAGGGGTACAAAGAAACCTTGTCAAAAATAGTCAAATTCACAAAAAAAAAAAAAAAAAAAAAAAAAAAAGTTTAATTGAATAAAATTTACTCATTTACCAGTTTTACTTTGAAAAGGGTAATTGAACCTTATCATTCTTAATTTTTCATGGCAAAAGGCATCGATGAAATTGGATTTTCATTACCTTTTTTTCTCAGAATCTGTGGTCAGATATTAATAAATACGTATTCCTAAAAATAAGTCAAAGAAACTAATTTTAAAATATTAAATAAAGATTACCCATGTGTCACCAAGTTTAAAGAAATGGTTTCACCATTATGTTGTTTTGGTAAATAGGAAATTATACATTTATTTTTATCTGGAATTATACAAAATTATTTGTCCAAAGTTTCTGTTTACTTTTTTAGGCGTTTCACAAATGCATCACTATAACTGATATAATGGTCTTGTTTATGTATTGTTATTCTGGTTTACTGGTTTATCTAAAATAAAACAAGATTTAACTATTCTACAGAAATCAAGATATTTGGTATTTTATCATAGATATGTAGTGCCCCACATTGGGGGCACAACGCATTCACATTAGGAAGCAGCAGATTTTCTTAACTTGCAATAACGCTAATTTGTCTATAATTTATCTTATGGATGGGTTATCATGAATTTTCTCTTTTGGTTTGATTAGGACACAAACTTTTTTTTTTTTTTTAAATGGTATTGGTGTGGATTTAATGTCTTACACATCGCAATATGTCGCAGAAGTCTGAAGTGCAAAAAATAAAACAAAATAAAAAGTCCCACATTAAGATCAATTCACCCTACGCATTATCACGGTGTACAGTCCATGTAGCCTAAGTGTAGGCTACATGTCGTATTTAGGAAGGCACTTGGCATTTCTTCGAGCTTTGTAATGAAGTTAAAAGATCGTCTCACCTGCGAGTCCAAAGTCTGTTGCGCTCAAACATCCACACACACACAGTAAAAGAGCACTCAACGAGCAGTAACCGATAGCTGTCATCATCTTCACCCACGACCACACGAACTCAGCTAGATTAAGCGTGAACACACAAAACTACAATGAAACTCTGTGTTGCTGCATCAAACCATCTACTAAATCCCACAGCAAACGCAGTGAAATGGTTTAAAGCGCACACGTTTTTAAAGATCCAATGATACCTGGGCAACTCCAGCACTGATGAAACTCACCTGCAGTTTCTATAGCCTAATCTTGATGACCATGATTAGCTTGTTCAGGTGTGTTTGATCGGCTGGTTTGATCAGGGGTTCAGTGTTCACGTGGTACAAGTTGGGGCTCTCAGAAAATTCCACGTCCAAGTTTTAAAATAGATTAAATTCCAAGATACACCTTAACTCTGTAGGGAACTCTGTCTGGATCTCAACTGGACACATTTGGCATAAATCTATGGGGCGCCGTTTGTATAGCGGCTCACGCTGAAAATAACAGCAACATTTTGCCACATTTAGCTTTAAACTGTTTAAAAAACTGATATGAATTTTTGAAGGTCACTTTTTTAGCACTGAAGGGGTGGTCAAAATCCCTTGCCTCTTCAGTATATATATATATGAAGAGTTCAGATGCAAAAGCCTCTAAATGCCATTTGAAATTTTCTTCTAAAATGACCATTTTTATCAAGCTTGTATATTTAGGTTCAGTAATTTCACTTAAATGACAATTAATAGGTAATCTTCCTTGCCATTTCAGTGAAATTACTGAACTTAAATATACAAGCTTGATAAAAATGATCATTTTAGAAGAAAATGTCAAATGGCACATAGAGGCTTTTGCATCTGAACTCTTCATAATCATAATATCCCTTTGAATGCTTGTGTGTTTCTTTTAGAAAGTATATTCAATATTACTTAATAATTTATTGACATATATTTATTCTTTGTGCTTTTGCTTGTGAAATAATATTCTTAAATGCATGCTGATGTAAGTAACCATGCAGCTTCTTTAGGTGCACAAGGCCATTCGTCTCTTTTTCCGGTATCAGCATAAAGGTTTATGGATCGGCGTTGTGAACACATGTCCAACACATATGATACTTCTCTGTACAGATGGTCAAGCTATATTGAGCATTGCTATATTGAACTGTTGTATTAAAATGTATTCTTTCTATTATATTTGTTTTCTGGGGAGAAAATGTTATCTGTTTTTCTCCCAAACGAGTGAATGTTTTACCATTATGTTGGTACACTTAACTGATTATAAGCCTCAAAACCTGTTTGTTTTCCCACTGACTACACTGTAAAAAATTTCTTGTCAAATTAACAGTAACTTACTGGCAACAATTATCCAGTACTTGCTGTATTTCATTTAACAGTAAAATTACCGTAACACTAACTACAGTACTGTTAAGCATACTGCAAATTAAATAACATTATTTTACTGTAATTTCTTACCATATTAAAGTACAGAATTACACTGTTAATTTTTAATAATACTGTATAGTATGAAATGTTATTGTATTTATTTTATAGTGCTACTGTGTAACCTGTAGAAAATCCGTAGAAATATTATTTTAACTGTTAATGGGAAATAGAAAAAAGAACAATTGAAGCTTTAACTGCACAAGGTTTATTGTGTATTTTCAAACACATTAGTACATTTACATAATATACATTTAAATAGATTAATACAATTAAACACATTAATAATAAAAATTTAATATAATACAATAAAAATCATGCATGACAATCATGAACAATTATGCATAAATACATGCAAAAATTATCATGAACAGGTAAAATAGAAAAGATTAAAGGGGTGCTATCTGATCAATCTATTAGAAAGATAGTTCATAACAACTCATCCACCCACTCCCTGCTGGGGTAAAACAGCTTAAACTAGTCTAAGATTGTCTATTGGTTTGAGATAGACTGTCTAACTGGTCAGTTGCTGATTTTAAAGGGTTTTTGGCTGCTTTCTATCTAAGGGACCAGATTTGCAGGGCTGGGAGACACATATAAACTTATAAACTATAAAAGCTTTGACGAGTAAACCACCAATCCAGATGAGTATAACAAAATGACAAGTTATCCAGTGTCCTTTAAAAAAAAAAAAAAACTAAACACAAAACAACCTCATCATGCACATGTGCCATGAAAAACTTGCATTACGGTATCAATAATTATTTATATGCAGACTTATGTTCTAACTTTTGCAATAGGAAGTTTTCTATCCAAGCTTTTATGCAATTAAACCTTAAACTGTACAGTAACGTTTATTTTCACACAACAATTCTAAACAACTTGCAGATAGACAAAGTTCACAGATGGATAAAAATCCGTTTAAAATGTTCTCAGTGGGTCAGTACTGGACCAAGGTATAGTAGTAGTAGTTAGATAAATAGAATAATTAAATTAGATTAGATTTACAATTCATCGGTCATCAAGATGGATAGGGGTCTTCTTAACATGCACAGCTCACACCTGTGGAAAAGGAGAACAGACAAGACAGTTAAAATATAGTACATTTTTGTTGTTTTGGCTAAACAGCAAAAACAGACAAAATGATGTCTAAAGTGTAATTCACTTAATACTAAAATCTTGTTTGTTGGACTGTTGTTTAAAATCAATTAATTTAGCCTACGATCACGTGAAAATGTAGGCTAAATGAAATCTTGCTTGTGTGATACTAAGTTACATGACTTAAAAAAAGATTGACAAGGCATCGTTCCCTTCAAATGAGTACATGTCAGTTTACACATAAAAAAAAAAAAAAAAAAAAAATGATATTATAGCCGACAATACTGTAGTATATGCAGTGAATGGTTCCTATACCGGAACACCCCCAGGCAGTTTGTGTAGTTGGTATGACCCGGGTTTTTTTTGTTGTTGTTGATTCTAAGTTCGCTAGTAAAGTGTTCAACACCAGGCTAACTCCCTCGTGTATGTGTCGTTAATGATAACCAAAGATTAACAAAGACCACAACAAATACTGTAAATGTCACACATAGCTTTGTATTTTGGACAAAAATACACCTTGGGCGCTTTCCGCGGTCCAACTTTATCACTGAGGTAACGTTATAATGGCAGAACGCCATGTCAGGATTTACACGAAAATAAGCGTGAAAAAATCAATAAGAGGAATCGGCACTTTAATTTTATAACAATAAATCCGAATCCTAACCTTGGATGTCCGATTTCAGGATACATTTATCGATTAGCAATTCCTAACCCCTGTAAGTCATAAAATAATGAACGTGCAGGCGCTTCCACCGACTTAACGTGGTAAATAACAAAATGATTAGACCATTTTGACCGTATAAGAGGTTACATATGAAATATATGTCAATAAAATCACATTTAATCAAGTAAGGCTATCAACATAAAAGAAATCCGCGTCTGACTTATACAGACGTAGAACATTCCGCGGCCACTTCTTTCTAACGTTAACGTAAGTAACTCATATGGTTTGCATAAAAATATGAATTACTAACCAGATGTATGGCGAAAACGTTGCCGACCGACAGCGACGCGATGCACGGCCTGCGTGTTCTTACAGAGGGAAGGGAACTGAAGAGTTCTTCATAAAATGGCAGCTTGTTGTGGTTATTTTTCGCGGTCATTTCGTACTAATGTATTTGAATTTACAGTAATATCCCAAATGGCTACATTGAAGAGTAGCCTATCATATACATATTATATTAAAATGTCTAGAATATATTAAATTGAATATAGAAATCGTGGTCAGCTATTCTAAATAACTTTAAAGTTATTAGCTAGAATCCGTTTGCATACACATTATAAGAATTATTATTTACCAGATGAAGAAGTTGCAGGTCGGCAGAAAAGACAGCAGCACCACTGACACGACAGAGAAACTCTTCCAAAGTCAAATATGCTCTCATGCACACCCCACTGACATAAATTATGTCATAAATTATGACTGTTAATGGTCAACCAGTGCTACATTTTTATTTTAAATGTAAGAATAACATTAGTAGGCTAGCAATTTTACCCGTGGAACTGTGTGTGGTGTTTTTCGCGGTCAATTGCACAGCTGTATTTAGATTAACAGTAACTGATAATTTCCCAGAATGCGTTGCAATTCTACAGTAACATACTGTCAACTGTGTGCATAGTACATAACTGTTGAAAAAACAATTTAATACTGTGAAAACAACTAAATCTACTGTAACTTACTGTACATAGATTATACAGTAAGAAACTGTTGAGAAAAACAGTATAATCCTGTGAAAACAACAGAAATCATTTACAGTGTAGAGAGTCCAGCGAATGATGTAATTACGTCACTGTGTACGTCGCATAAGTCTTAGCCATGATGTGGTAAAAGAACAGTTCTAATCCAGCAAAGAGTTGTTGCCTCTTTGGAACCAATTTTTCTGGCAGAGAACAGATTCTCAAAATGCTTTGGTAGAAAATGGATATAATGGTATCCAGGAGCGTCACTACATGACTGAACCTCCTCTCCCCACAGACAGCCACACGCTGTATTGGTGGAGAGACACGAGCTGCAACAAATACCCACTTCTCTCAACATTGAGACGCAAATACCAGTGTGTGCTAGGCACGTCTGTGTGCTCCGAAAGTATTCTCCACCGTGGGGAACATAGTCAATAAAAAGAGAGCTCAAGAACAAGTTAGTTGGTGTTTCTAGCAAACAATATTAGGAAATGAATTAGGCTAGACCTTGCTCCTACTGTGGTTTAAGTGGTCACGTTACGGTTTGTGCCATGCAAAAAATTAGGCTACATTCTTGTAGCCTAATTGTGATTGGCTATGCATAGTGGCACTTCATATAGATTGAGGTGATAACCTGCAGTTTAAAACAAAGTAAAAAAGAAAAAAGTTATGGCCTTTGACCTTTTTATGACGGTCAGACTGTTGATACTTTGAGATTCAATCTGTTACAACTTTTTTTAAATGTAGTGGTGGGGGGTTGGGGGGGGTTGCATTGTTGGATATTTGTGACAGTCCTAATACTGCATGAAAATCTTGTAAACGGACAACATGAATTACTCGATGTAACTTAACAGTACGTTTTCGTTTCTTCATAACATTTCCCCTCATTAGCAAAATCCTACATTTAATTTCTGGTAGCTTAGTTCAAAACTTAACCATCTCGGTCATGTTTTTTTGCTAATAATTGTTTAGAAACTCTTGCTGCCTAGCTCCTGGTGAGAATAGAAACCAGTATGTTGTAAAATGACTTGGGGAACCCAAAAATAAACTCTCCAATAAAGTACTTAAAAAAAAGAAAGAAAAAAAATCCCACACAGAAAGTAGTCTTAAACATTTATTTGGTGAAACCATGGCATTCAGCACTGAATTAATCAGAACTCCAGTTGGCTATGCATTATGCTAAACGGGCGGTATGCTGGAAAGCGTAACCGGATGGTTGGGCGGCAGGCTTCAAAGGAGGCATGTATAGTTTGGCAAAAAACTTAACTGGAGGCTTAGGGGCAGTCTTCATTGGAGGCTTGGGTGGTTCTGCAACAAGCTTCACTGGAGGCTTGGGGGCAGGCTTCATTGAAAGCTTGGGTGGTTCTGCAACAAGCTTCACTGGAGGCATGGGGGCAGGCTTCATTGGAGGCTTGGGTGGTTCTGCGACAAGCTTCACGGAAGGCATGGGGGCAGGCTTCATTGGAGGCTTCGGTGGTTCTGCAACAAGCTTCACTGGAGGCTTGGGGGCAGGCTTCATTGAAAGCTTGGGTGGTTCTGCAACAAGCTTCACTGGAGGCATGGGGGCAGGCTTCATTGGAGGCTTGGGTGGTTCTGCGACAAGCTTCACGGAAGGCATGGGGGCAGGCTTCATTGCAGGATTAAACAGTCTGGCAGTAAGCTTCACTGGAGTCTTGGGCAATTCATCAGCAATCTTCACTGCAGGCTTTGGCGGTTCAATGGCAGGCTTTCCTGGTAGCTTGGAGGGCTCTGTGACTAGCTTCATGGGCAGTTCGGCTGCAGGGTTCACTGGCAGCTTTAATGGCTCGGTTACTGGCTGCACTCGAGGAATGGGCAGTTCGGTGACTCGCTTCACTGGAGGCTTGGACATTTCGGGGGCAGGCTGCACTGGAGGCTCGGCCAGTTCGGGGGCAGGCTGCACTGGAGGCTTGAGGGGATCAGTGACTGGCTTCACTTGAGGAACGGGCAGTTCGGGGGCAGGCTGCACTGGAGGCTCGGCCAGTTCGGGGGCAGGCTGTACTGCAGGCTTGAGGGGCTCGGTGACAGGCTTCACTTGAGGCTCGGCCAGTTCGGGGCAGGCTGCACTGGAGGCTGGGCCAGTTCGGGGGCAGGCTGCACTGGAGGCTCGGCCAGTTCGGGGGCAGGCTGCACTGGAGGCTTGAGTGGCTCGGTGACAGGCTTCACTTGAGGCTCGGCCAGTTCGGGGGCAGGCTGCACTGGAGGCTCGGCCAGTTCGGGGCAGGCTGCACTGGAGGCTCGGCCAGTTCGGGGGCAGGCTGCACTGGAGGCTTGAGGTGATCAGTGACTGGCTTCACTTGAGGAACGGGCAGTTCAGGGGCAGGCTGCACTGGAGGCTCGGCCAGTTCGGGGGCAGGCTGTACTGGAGGCTTGAGGGGATCGGTGACTGGCTTCACTTGAGGAGCGGGCAGTTCGGGGGCAGGCTGCACTGGAGGCTTGAGGGGCTCAGTGACTGGCTTCACTTGAGGAACGGGCAGTTCGGGGGCAGGCTGCACTGGAGGCTTGGGCACAGGCTTAACTAGAGTGATAAAATTATAAGACAAACTAAAAAATAAGATAAAATAGATAGCTGACCCAAACACTAATAATAAACATAAGATCACACTCTCGCACTGTACTCCCTCTTTTAGATAGCTTTATCTTTTTTTTTTTTTTTACAAAAATAACACCACAGGCATTAATAAACACCTGATGGATCAGATTATGTCAAACTCAATTTCGACCAAAAGTGGAGATAGAACCTTATTCTAAGCTCACGACATAACACGCACAAAAAAATAGGGACTGAAGTGATATGGGGGAAGGTTATCATATACTATCTTATTATATCATCTTTTATTTTAAACAGGATTAACAATGGCAATTGGTACATAAGAGAAAGGATTAAAATCAACTAATACAATATTGGGAATATGGTGGTAGTGGGGGTGGTGATGGTAAGGACAATGGCAACAAATAATAAATAGTTACTTTGTTTACACATACCCACAAACACATACTTGGATCAAACACTTAAATCACTCTGTCACTTCTGGAATTACAAGATTGCTCACTATTGCACTATGTTGGTTTGCATGCATGTTTGACTTTAATAAAAAAAAAATAATAATAATAAGATCACAAATACCTGTATAAGGGGCCATACACTGACGTCCACATCCATTGCGGCAGCATTTCTCATTGTTCGGACAGTCGCTGTCAAATGCACACAGATCAGCACAATTACCTGATCCAGATTTTACACTTGGGCACACTCCTGGCTTTCCTGTTATATACAGACAGGGGTACAAAGAAACCTTGTCAAAAATACTGAGTCAAATTCTCACACACAAAAAAAAAAGAAGTTTAATTGAATAAAATTTACCAGTTTTACTTTGAAAAGGGTAATTGAACCTTATCATTCTTAATTTTTCATGGCAAAAGGCTTCGATGAAATTGGATTTTCATTACCTTTTTTTCTCAGAATCTGTGGTCAGATATTAATAAATACGTATTCCTAAAAATAAGTCAAAGAAACTAATTTTAAAATATTAAATAAAGATTATCCATGCGTCACCAAGTTTAAAGAAATGGTTTCACCATCATGTTGTTTTGGTAAAGAGGAAACAGACACAATTATACATTTACTTTTAGTTGGAATTATACAAAATTATTTGTCCAAAGTTTCTGTTTACTTTTTTAGGCGTTTCACAAATGCATCACTATAACTGATATAATGGTCTTGTTTATGTATTGTTATTCTGGTTTACTGGTTTATCTAAAATAAAACAAGATTTAACTATTCTACAGAAATCAAGATATTTGGTATTTTATCATAGATATGTAGTGCCCCACATTGGGGGCACAACGCATTCACATTAGGAAGCAGCAGATTTTCTTAACTTGCAATAACGCTAATTTGTCTATAATTTATCTTATGGATGGGTTATCATGAATTTTCTCTTTTGGTTTGATTAGGACACAAACTTTTTTTTTTTTTTTAAATGGTATTGGTGTGGATTTAATGTCTTACACATCGCAATATGTCGCAGAAGTCTGAAGTGCAAAAAATAAAACAAAATAAAAAGTCCCACATTAAGATCAATTCACCCTACGCATTATCACGGTGTACAGTCCATGTAGCCTAAGTGTAGGCTACATGTCGTATTTAGGAAGGCACTTGGCATTTCTTCGAGCTTTGTAATGAAGTTAAAAGATCGTCTCACCTGCGAGTCCAAAGTCTGTTGCGCTCAAACATCCACACACACACAGTAAAAGAGCACTCAACGAGCAGTAACCGATAGCTGTCATCATCTTCACCCACGACCACACGAACTCAGCTAGATTAAGCGTGAACACACAAAACTACAATGAAACTCTGTGTTGCTGCATCAAACCATCTACTAAATCCCACAGCAAACGCATGATATGGTTTAAAGCGCACGCGTTTTTAAAGATCCAATGATACCTGGGCAACTCCAGCACTGATGAAACTCACCTGCAGTTTCTATAGCCTAATCTTGAAGACCATGATTAGCTTGTTCAGGTGTGTTTGATCAGGGGTTCAGTGTTCACGCGGTACAAGTTTGGGGCTCTCAGAAAATTCCACGTCCAAGTTGTAAAATAGATTAAATTCCAAGATTCACCTTAACTATAGGGAACTCTGTCTGGATCTCAACTGGACACATGTGGCAAATCTATGGGGCGCCGTTTGTATAGCGGCTCACGCTGAAAATAACAGCAACATTTTGCCACATTTAGCTTTAAACTGTTTAAAAAAACTGATATGAATTTTTGAAGGTCACTTTTTTAGCACTATATATATATATATATATATATATATATATAATCAAAATATCCCTTTGGATGCTTGTGTGTTTCTTTTATAAATTATATTCAATATTACTTAATAATTTATTGACATATATTTATTCTTTGTGCTTTTGGTTGTGAAATAATATTCTTTAATGCATGCTGATGTTAGTAACCATGCAGCTTCTTTAGGTGCACAAGGCCATTTGTCTCTTTTTCCGGCATCAGAATAAAGGTTTATGGATCCTAAAGGCGTTGTGAACACATGTCCAACACATATGATACTTCTCTGTACAGATGGTCAAGCTATATTGAGCATTGCTATATTGAACTGTTGAAATTCTTTCTATTATATTTGCTTTCTGGGGAGCAAATGTTATCCGTTTTTCTCCCAAACGAGTGAATGTTTTACCATTATGTTTTGGTACACTTAACTGATTATAAGCAGCTCAGACTCTCATCAGCCTTGAATGAGTTGTTGTTGTGGTCATACTGGTGCAGCAACCCAAATCTGTGACCTGGAAGGTCATGAAGTGCCTCTGACTGTCAGATGCATCATCGATGGAGATATGCTTCCGTCTATCTGTGTGGAAAATTACTGTGTTTATCTATTTCTTAGCCAATGAGAAACATTCAACGTGTAAGCAATGACGTAGTTTAGACCTTGGGAACAGTATAACTGCTGTGATCTTTGTAACTGTAAGGGGGAGGCCTACGAACTCCTGTGTGAGTCTTGAAGCTGACTTTTGCTGATGAAACTGCAAACTATGTTCAGTAAACTTTTCTTTATTTTATTTATTTATTTATTTTTTATAATTCTGACTCCGGGTCTTCATTCTTCATGTCTGGTTCTGGGTTTTGACGTTAACCTCTAACAGCACATTTACATCTATATTTGTCAACTTAGAGATATTTTAAATAGTTAAATCTAAATATTAAATGTTGCACTTAAATATTAAGTCTAATTGTTAAATCTAAATATTAAATCCAAATCTAAATGTTAAATATACAGTAAATGTTGAATTTAAATCTAAATGTTAAATATGAATAGAATCTAGATGTTTCGGGTGAAACTAAATATTTAGCTAATATGCAAATTAAAAATGCTGGTAACCGGAAGTGCCAAAATAAAAGCACGAGGAGGTCAGTATGTGTTTGCTGTGTCAAATAACAAATAAAAACCATCTCATCCGGGGAAATGCACACTTGGGCATGGATTATCGCGATTATAACTACCTAAAATAATAAACACGTTTGGAGAAACTGTATTTGAAGAGTAGGCTACTTTGTGGTTTTAGTGTCACTTTTTATGAAAGGTGCGAGACCAAGGGGGTTATCCATTGACTGGAAGTTGAACCCTTGCAGGAGCTGCCATCTTGTAGCTGAACTTCACTTGCGTTAGCATTTCCATTGACTCCCATTCATGTTTAACTTTCCCGTTCATTTTGGCGACAGCGAATTACTTTACATCTGAGGCGTTTGAAGACCCAATTTGTCCTTTATTTATTTCTAAAGAAACACGACAATGTATAAAATGCTCCATTACCTTGTAACTTATGTTATGGCCCCGTAGAAGCAGTTTTTTTTTTGTAAAAGTAGGCTAACGATTGCATCATACCCACGCCACTCTGTCGCACTAGAGAGATTACCGTATGGACAGGAGGAGAAGCTCGCGGGCAATCGGGGAAACGTGGAGGCAAAATGAGAAAATAATTAATCAGAATACCTAGCAAAAGGGTCTCCTGCTCCTAGCTCATGGACAGCTCCTTCTCACACTCTCCGCCTCAGCATGTTTCGGAAGGGAATGATTTAGCTTTCTAATGCCACAGCCACTAGAATACAGATGGGTTGCTCTCGTCACATCTACATCGTCAAGCTCTGTTTGAGTCTGCGCGTCAGGGACGGAAGTGCTAAAAAAATCGCCAAAAACGGGCTTCACTCTTCTCAGTGGAGTTCCAATGAGATGGCTCTGTCCACTTCTTATAGACCTTATGCCCCAGAGAAACGTTGGCGCCGTCATCTTTAGAATATTGCCTTTGAACATGAACATGGCATCACTGTCGAGGAGTAATTAGCTGGTGAAGTGGATTTATTGTAGAGTTAACAAAAGTTATCATGAGCATTGTAATTTTTATCATAAGCATTGTAAAGCAGATGTCTGAACAAATGTCGAATGGGAATTTTTTCCCGAGCAGTTCATTCATACCTATTCAAGATCGCTGTAAAAATACAGACCTGAAGTCAAAAGACAACGAGCGCAGCGCTGAAAAGGGGCAGGGCTACATAAGGTCTATAGACCGCTTCACGGTTGACGTCACAGAAAAAAATGCGGTGCATGTCGGGGTCAGAAAAGTTCATTCCATCGTGCTGTAACCATAGTTTAAACCAGCTACCGGAGAATTTCTCGTCAACATGCCTACTTGTTGCGTCGATAAATACTAACTTGCGATAAATACTATATATACTACTCTATAGAGGTTGTCTACCCATTCTGTTATGAGCTCGGGATCAGGGAGACAATCGCCATTAACTAAAACAAGTTTGTTATGGTAATGTTCCCGACAGGTCTTCACAGTGCACCCGAGACCCGTCGGCCCGGGACCCGACCCGGGACCCGTACAGGTTCGGGTCTGTATTTTAAATGATCAGCCGGATCCGGGTCGGGTCCGAATCTATTACTTCGTGTCCCGGGTCTGTTTATTAACATCGTGTGTAATACAACGCATTCTCGTCCTTTAGCCATAGGACGCTATATGACAAAACGGCGAAATACTACTCACATGGCACCCGTTATCGTTAATATAACACGCGCTGAGAGCGGGCTGGTAATACCCGTGCGATCGGAGTGCAATGTCAAGCGCGTGTCATGTTTCTATGGCAACCAAAGCAGAGCTTCCGCCAAACCGCGCTTTACATTTTCTCCAATGTTTATAATAATATAAATGAACCGTCTTGTCTAATCTTAAAGTTTTGGTGGTCAGATTCAGACTCAATGAAGAGCAGAGAGCACAGATATGATCAAGCTGAACAAGCAACAAGCAATCGTCATTCAAAAGGGCAAACAGTTAAAGTTATTATGCGAGTTAACTCGAGTCAGAATGTACATGTGCAAGGTTGCATTTGTCATCCATCACCGTGACATCAAGTGGACTTTTAAAGCTGAAATAATGAGTGGATTAAGCTTGGAATAACGAGAGAAATAACATGGATAGAAGAACTTTCTTGTCGGTGGATTAATGCATCAGTCAGTCAGTAACGTACAAGGAAGTGAGACGACAGCTACTAAAATTAGGTAAGACAAAAAGTTTTATTTTTCGCAACTCGTGTGAAATAATATGTGACAATCGGGTCCAGTCGGGTTTGTGTCTTCCTGCCGGGTTCGGGTCAGTTTTCAAATAATAGACTGGTCCAGGTCGGGTCCGGGCAGTACGTTTATGTCATTTCTTGGGTCTGCACGGGTCCGGGTCCAACTTTTGAAATGAACGACGGGTCCGGGTCGGTTCGGTGTAGCACATTACGGGTCTCTTTCGGGTCGGGCATGAGTTTTTGGACCCGTGAAGACCTCAAAGACAGTGCATAACTTGACACAATATCATGCCGGTCTATTAGCCGCGCCATTTTTCTGACCCCATGCTGCGCGCGCACCCAAGAGAGGATTCCAATGTGTACAAACATTGAAGGGGTCTATACATGTGTGAAACTTATGACCTGTAGTTATAATCGCCAGACACGAGGGGGCTCACTTTGACTGATCTGTCATGTTCGCAAAAGGCCAGCAGAGCTGCTTTCTACTCGGCTAAAATGTCAAACGAATTTATTATTGTAGGTAGTTATTATCGCGATAATTCATGTCAAAGAGTCAATTTCCCCGCATAAGATGGTTTTTATTCGTCACTGACCTCCTTGAGCTTTTATTTTGGCACTTCCGGTTACCAGCCTAAATATTTAGTTTCACCCAAAACATTTAGATTCAACATTTAGATTTAGATTTAACATTTAGGTTTAGATTTAACATTTAGATTTAACATTTAGATTTAGATTTAACCTTTTATCGCCTAGCAAAAATGAATGTTAGATTCGGATATATATATATATATATATATATATATATATTTTAAATGCAAAATAGAAATGTGAATTATTTGAGACAATTTTAGAAATGTGTACAGGCTACAACAGGGCTAAAGGCACACCTTAAGAAAAATGGTTCACTACTCCAATGATTGTAGAACTATTTACATAAAAAAATGTACATATTTTTATAGGAGAATGATGGAGCAACAAATTTTGTGTAAAAATACATTTTAAAAGTGGGTTGTTAGTTTCAAAATCTTACAAAAATGTATGGGGGGGACACCAAGGTCCTTTCACACACTGGGTAAACGGCCTGGGGAAGATATGAGATATCCTATATCTTCGTAAATATCATATCTCAAACCTAATTTCTTATGTCTAAAATATATATTCCAAATATAGTATATCATATTTTACATTTTATATCTCATATCTTAAATGTCATATCTCAAATCTAATATATTAGGTTATATATCTCAAATCTCATTTCTTATAAAAGCTCATTCATGGTACGGTAACAGAATGCAAGATAATGAGTCGTG